TGTCTAGATAGATAGATAGATAGATAGATAGATAGATAGATAGATAGATAGATAGATAGATAGATAGATAGATAGATAGATAGATAGATAGATAGACATTTATGCGCCTTATTCGTTGATGTTATAACAATAATTATAATTCATGTGGTACTAGATAGCCTGTACACATTTCAATAATAGTAACTCTTAAGAAAGACCACCAGGATTAGATTTTATTTTTTTTAATTTTTTTTTATTTACGCTTTCAAGTATATTACATTGTTACACATATCACAACAAGTTTTTTAAATAAATATAGCGAGGTAGGGCGAATTGACTATACATGCAGTCTTCAAGTCAGCTACTCCGCTAACTACAGTTAGTTACTTAAAGTTAAACCATGAATGACAATACGATTGAATAATACAAAAATATATATGAGCGTTGTTATAAAAAATAAATAAATTATAAATAAACTACATGCAAATTACCCTGAGTCCACATGAGCCTGAAGACCGCAATACAAAATACACATATGCAGGTTCCAAATATATACATATAGATATATAGATATATAGACTATCAGAAAAGAAAAAGCGCTTACAGACGCATAGCTGAACAATAATTGACAGGGAAAGAACAGATTAAAGCACAACAATTGAAGATCACACAACACAGCACAGGCAACAAATCACACACAAAGAAAAGCCACACCATGCATTCCTATATATTGAAAGTTCTTACTATATAGGGTGTATTGGACGTATTATCTCACATGTTGAGAAAGTATGTGTTAACAGGAATGATGATATATGCACCACAGCACACTACTGATGTAGTAAAGCCTCATATAACTTAATTCCTAGAAGATGAAGAAGTGGATGAAGAAACACTAAAAGAAGAAGAAGTGGATGAAGAAACACTAAAAGAAGAAGAAGAAGAAGAAGAAGAACAACAACAACAACAACAACAACAACAACAACAACAACAACAACAACCATGACGACGACGGCAAGGAAGAACGTGTGTTTTTTGATGCTGAGCTTTGATGTACAATATTAATGGTGTTGCGATGATGACGATAGGAAATTAAACGTATTTAAAATAAATGCTCAAAAAAATTCAAATGTAACATAATTTAGCAAGTAAATATCTGTCTACTTGTTTCTTAATATCAGAACTTGTAATGTGTACCATGCAAAAATTTAGCAATGTTTTCGATAAGAAAAGTTAAAGGCCATTTATTAGGTGACATCACAAGATCTCCGTGTCCCGGATGTTTGACGTCACAACTATAAGAAGAAAATAGTTTGCAGGAAAACATTGTATAATATTGTTCTGTAACAACTCGTTTACAGCGTTCTCGTAAAATATACGCGTAGGGTATAATATTTGAATATGTCTACACCTGCTAGACGAAGGCTTATGCGGGATTTTAAGAGGTACGTACAGGAAAACTGTTTTAAATTACTCATTGCATTTCATGGTGAAATCAATCATGGCGACGAGGTTGGCATTGATTCCGTATCTGCATGGCCATGACTTACTTCCAACAATAGTATAAGGTTTATTTATATTTTGTTTGCGAAAGTAGTATGCTACTTAGATTTCTAGCAAAAGAAAATCTGCATATTGCATTTGCGTATGTCCCATGTTCCTGAGTTAGAAACGTGGTCGTTGCAACTTGCAGTGCACTGACAGTAGGCTTTAATACCTAAAATCAACGACTACAAATACATACTGACTAGGCCTACTGTGTCAGTAACTTCAGGAAGGTTGCGTTAAATACCAAACCATGGATTTACATTGATGAAATATAAATGAGTTGTGATGTTGTGATCAAGCGAAACCACATGTTATCTAGGTGTGCCATATTCTGGGAATACTCAAGAAAAACTCATTATGCAATTTGGACCATGTGTTGCGTGATGATGTGATGTGCCACTATTGCATTAGCTCTAGTAACTATAGCCCGCGAGCAGTTGCCGCAGGGCTATAGGATCTTTTATTACCAATGCTCGGGACCAACTTAGTAACGGTTACTTGCGGCTATAAAACGTCTGTGATAGGCAATTAATGCCTCTTATCCAAAGTGAATATGTCTTAAAGCGATCATTGCGAGTTGTTTTCAGCATTTTTTAGTGTTTTTTCTCACTCTCATGATGCCTACCGTTGTTGCTTGAGTAACAGTAATTGTTTGAAATAACAAAATGTCTTAGAACCGCATGCAAAGACAAAATCATGCACGATTACAATTTTGCGTTCTCTTGTTGATTTTCGCTGTCATGTCTTGCACTTTTTCACGGTACCGCGTGAAGTCAGCAAGGGTACAGTAATGCAAAAATTGCACCGGAGATATTTTTGGTCAGATGTAAACACAGAGGTGCATAGTAGCGTAACACAAACAAGAGTAAGTTGTAACCTCATAAATATTAGTCTTTAAGAGTCCTAGGGACTATAACGAAGACGGAGAGAGAAATGGATCAAATCCTCGTTGCGTACCGCCAGCGAGAATACTTATCACACACAAATAGATGCCCCTTTGTATTAATTATGTTCGTTTGTTTGAGACGCCATTTGTGATTTTTGAATGTCTTGACTCGAAAAAATGTATTGCTGGTATGATGTGGTCAAATCAATTTTTCTATGCTATAACTGCATAAAATATTGGTGTTTTGAATGTTGGTGTAATCAGTGACATTTTCGCTGTCAGGTGAGACTATATTCACCTATATTTAGTTTTTCTGAGCAAAATTCTCGCAATGATCGTTTTAAGTTATATCTGCAACTAAAATTTAACCTCTAACTATTGTTGAAATGGTCTGCTTGCGGTATTTCTTGTGAACGAACATTCGATTTGCGAACTTCAAACTGCCATTTTTGGCGGTGCTGCAGCAGCGCCAGTCAGCGGGTTGGTCCCTAGCATTCGTAATAGAATGTACTATAGTCCGCGTACAGTTGCCACAGGGAGCTGGCCTATAGGCTCCCTGCGGCAACTGTACGCGGGCTATAGTACTAGAGCTACTATTGCATTAGATATAATAATGTAACCCAACACAAGAGTAGGGTTACATCTTACAACGCAAGTCTATTCTTTTCTTTGGAGGAGCCTCTGAGTGATTCACTCAGGGCGGTTTTATGGTGCGTTTTTCGAGACTACAACTTCCAAACTGGGTTTATTCTAAACACGAACCTTTCTCTGCTATCCCGGGACTTACTATGTATCACAATACTCTGTATTAAACTAATATAACCTGTTACAAAATTTCGAAGCGACGAGCGGCGATATTTCGAGTGCCATTTCTGGTGACCTGTGATGCTGGCTTTCCCAATGTGCATAGCGATCGGCAAACTTCGGTTTGAAGAGCGGATCCATCACGGGATGCCTGAGAAATAGCACGTGATGTGGCGCGTATCCTTCACCGACCAATCGGAGGGCTCGCAGCGCACTAAAGCCAGAGCTGACCGAAGTTTGCCGATCGCTATGCACATTGGGAAAGCCAGTGTCACAGGTCACCAGAAATGTAGGGACAGTGATTTTCCGTTTCAAAAAATTGCCTTTTCCGTTTGGGGAAATCATGAATTTCGTTCACAAGTAAAAAAAAATGGAAATTCCGTTTTGCCATAGAGATTGTACACACCAAAAATGCAAAATTCCGTTTACATATATATTTGCATGAAAAAAAGGTATTTGATACAACCTTTGAAACCGGAACCGGCACCGAAACACAGGGCTACCAAAAGTCGTAATTGTAAGTCATTTCGCTTTGAAACTTGTCTGAATGTAAACCATATCACTACCAATGCTATTGTTGACTGTTTTTTTGTGATTTTATTGAAATTTCCATGTTGTAATATGTTCAAATTACGTTTTACGCGTTTTTCCGTTTGAAAACATCTTTTCCGTTTCCAATGGCCGTTTTCGTGTTTTCGGTCCGTTTTTCGCGATCGCGGAAAATCACAGTCCCTAGAAATGGCGCTCGAAATATCGCCGCTCGTCGCTTCGAAATTTTGTAACATGTTATCTATACTATTAAAGTAAGATATTTTGGCTAAAAACTTCGGAGGGGGTGAATGGCTGGGCGTGAAACGTACCACCACGTGTCGACAATGATTCCGTATCCTGCCTCTCAACTTTGGAAGAAAATGTAACCTCCGAAAATGTGATTTTGCGAGGAAAACCTTGAAAATCTGTACACAATCTATAATTAGAACGAGGGATATCTGTTGTCTATCTCCAACGTGTTAATCATGTTCTGTAACCATACCGCCCCAGTGGCCGAATGCATAAAGCATCGTACTCCAAAACCATTGATTCTGGGTTCGAATTCCACCTTGCGAAAGTCTGTTTCTTTACTTTTGGACTGTTTAGTATGTACTTCTGCCACTTCACCGTTAATTTCAAAATGTAAAATTTCCCACTACATTTAAACGTTTAGTAAAAATCCAGAATAAACTATGGTACATGATAATAATAGCGCAAACTGACGGGAACACTTTACGGAAGCCTATGTAGGTTACAGATCAAATAATATTTTATTTTTTATATAATTTTATTTTGTTATTTATTATTTTTTACTTTTTTATTTTAATGTCTTTTATCTTTTGATTTCTTATTATTTTTTATTGTTTAGGTTGGGATGGGATGGCATGGGATGGGATGGGATGGGATGGCATGGCATGGCATGCCATCAGATGTCATTGGATGGCATGGGATCGGATAGGATATGGGATGCGGTGCGATGGGATGGCATGGAATGCGATGGATGGATGCATGCATGGATAGATAGATAGTTGGATTTTTTGGGGTATTTTCCTTTCAACCAAGCGGTCACCAACTGAGTATTGATTTCCCTGGGTAACGCCGGGTATCCCGCTAGTATTAGTTTAATACAGAGTATTGTGATACATAGTAAGTCTCAGGATAGCGGAGAAAGGTTCGTGTTTAGAATAAACCCACTTTGGAAGTTCTAGTCTCGAAAAACGCACCATAAAACTGCCCTGAGTGAATCACTCAGGGGCTCCTCCAAAGAAAAGAATAGGCTCGCATTGTAACCCTACTCTTGTGTTGGGTTACATTATTGTAACTACTATTGCATAAGCTTATTTACTGGAGCATTGTTTTTGTAAATATAAGTGTGACAGCTTGAATGTTAAAGAAATAGTTAAATAAGAATGCTGTGCTGAGCTCTACCCTTGATATCCCATCTCCACCATGTATATGTGCGGATTGTGAAAGTGTACGTGTATGGAAAAGTCGATTACGTACAAGCTAGGCAGGGGCGTGTACAGGGGGGGGGGTCCAGGGGGTCCGGACCCCTCCCTGCTCGCGCAGAAAAGCATTCAAAGGGGGTCTAATTTCAAAAATTTTGTGGGGGAGGGCCCCCCAGACCCCCCTTCGCGTGCTCGCAAGTTTGGGTTACGGGTAGACACAAAATTTGTGAGGGCTGGTAAAAATTGCTGTTACCAGCCCTCTGGTCCGGGGCAAATAAATCTGAATTTCGTGCCCTGGCAACTTCAAGGAACAACAGGTAAACCGTGCGTAGAAGCAAAGGAGTAATGCAAATAATCTTATTTCTATGATTATATAAATGAGTGATTATATGTATAATATTGTTTATATATTTATTAATTTCTAGTATTGGAGAATGTTTAGGTGTTTATAATTATATTTACCTGTGTGTCAACAACAAGAAGGTAACATTAGGTTTTGGTGTCAACAAAAACAATTTCTATCTATAATTGTAAATAGCATAATCAATCAAAATTTGTAGTGTGGTTTATATTCTATACAAATGCGACTATGAAATGTAAACAAAAGTATCCATTTGAGTATTTCTAAGTGTAATAAATTTAGTAACTAAACGGGTTCGGGACCGAGTGTTCAGATAGGTAAGGTAGTTTTGTCAGTGCATAGGTTTAGATCACCCAACAGGATTGTAGTTTCTATATAACAGTGAACCTGTCACATGCATGTATGTAGTGCTAAGCCCATTTACTGCAATAAGAGTTTATATACAGTTGATTGTAACAGCTAACATATAGCTGCTAGTGTTGTCTTATTTTATTGAATAACTGTATCCGTAGGTACTTGGAATTCTGTAACATATGGTTACTAACTTACTAGAGTGCTGAGCTACTTCAATGTTTTGAGATGAATGCAACAGCTGCTGCATGATCTGTGGTACTGCTGTGTCAGATAATTCTGTTAACAACACCATGGCATGGAGTCTCTGTATAATTTATTCTCTTAATGTTGTGATTTAACAAGCTGAATGTCAAGTCAATCAAATTACCTGCCATTTAGTCTGACACTATTCCGTGATGGGAATTTTTCACTTTAGCCACCAAACATATTTTTACTCAAACTGTTTTTCCTGGCAGGTTACAAGAAGACCCGCCAGCGGGTGTGAGTGGCGCACCGACAGAAAATAACATTATGATGTGGAATGCTGTTATATTCGGGTGCGTATGCAAACTATACTATTTATTGTATTGAGAGAATTTTAGACTATAGATTGTGAACATTGAAGATCGTAGCTTCATTTTATCCAATACCAGGGTTTCTTCTGAGGAAAAATTAGACAAAGGAGGTAATGGCCAGTTTGGGGATAAAAACGCGCATGATGGATTCAAAGGGAATAACGGAAAAGTGTAGACCCCGCGTCACATGACTCAATAAACGCTCATGGCAATCTAAATATGCCAGAAGCACGTGGTCGTGGTGATCTATTTATTTTTGGTTGACACTATTTTGACAACGGCGGGTAAATACAGGAACATTTTCACAACGGCAAAGTTAAATTTGACAACGGCGGTGCACCACTGCACCTCTTATGTGTAAGAAACCCTGAATACCCTCTTTAATATGACGGAATTGGATAATGTTGAGCATTTATATTTGTACATTAATGCCATTTAGCTACTAATCTTTGCGTGTATGTATGCGTGCATGTGTGGGCATCCTATAGGTGTAATGGTTTGAAATTTGATCATAGTAAGTACAGTCTCTATAAAATTAATAGGTTAATGGTAGTACATATAGGCTGACACTTGACAAACTATGTATGGTCAAGAGTCATTAATTTTAAATGTTGCATCTTCTTGGGATAAAACGTGACCAGTTTTGCACGTGTTTCCGTCAGTTACTTCTACGTGTTTAAAGTTCACGACCGCGTGCATTTAGATTTCATTTGTACAAACATTTGTTTATTTGCCCAACTGAGCTCAGTTCACAGATCCATCTGAAGTGCAAAGTTTCCATGAAGGGTGCAATATTGGTGTCTTTGTTTTCCATTGAAAATTTGCCTGGTAGCCTGTCTTCAGATCTGGGTTGCTGCCAGAGGCTGGGAAGCGGTGATGGGGGTGGGGGGGGGAGGCAGCATGGGTAACGCGATCCGACACTCACATGACTCAACTCATGTGGGGCACTGCCTTCTTCCCATGTGATGCTAACATCATGCTGGCTGCTTCAGACGCTGCGCATTCGCGTTCGCACTGAGTCAGTCTTTGTTACATTTCCTGCTTCAGCCGTGTGCAGGTTGTTGCCGTGTGGGTGCCTTCTGCACGTTTAGAGGGAAAAGCACTGTGAACTCTCCCAATATGATGTGTGTGGTGATGGGGGGGGGTCGAATGTAAACTAGTTGCGAAGGCTCTGGAATAAGAATAGCTGCTCAAGCTCAATGTACAGTAAATTGTACAGTCTGTATAGTAGCGCCTCCTTCGATCACTTATACGTGTTTGGAGTAAGAGAACAGGGAATTGTTGCCAAAATCGCAAATATATTGTATAGTAAAAGTGTGATATTTCATTTACACATCCTACTACACGGAATACTGAAAGTTGATATACTCTATGCTGCGCAATGCTTCGTATCTAGACATTACTGTATGTGTCATGGTGTATACAGTTAACTTCTGTGCTACAGTATACAATAATTAACACATGATGCTGCAGTCTTCACGAATGAAATTTCTAAACACTGGACCTTCGGTCCACCAAGCCAGCAAAATTTACTGGACCGGACTAAATATTACTGGACCAATATTATTTAGACATTTTTGTCAATAAAGAACAAAACAGTAATATCGTTTTGTATTTTACCTATAATAATACCTTCTACACACTGCTATGATTACAGTAGTAATACCTATCAAATATACATCACATGCCTTCTACACATGCACTACAATAAAAGCTGCAAAATAGAACAACAAACCTGCGTTAGTATTCAGTGAGCATGTATCACACAGGCACTTGGAACGTCTCAATAAAAAAAATTAATGGTAAATAAACACGAAATGTACCAAAGTCTTAATGTTTCTCTACTCTATTTCGCCTATAATCACCTGTAAATGCCGGTCAACTGCTCATCTGAAACACACAAGTACACCGCACGCCCGCCCTGTGCTGCGTGCACAAACAACATGAATAAGAGAGTTATATCATTCATACCTTCTACACACTACAATAATGACAGTAGTGATACTTATCAAATATACATCACATATACCTTCTACATACTGCAATGATAACAGTAGTGATACTTATCAAATATACATCACATATACCTTCTACACACTGCAATGATAACAGTAGTGATACTTATCAAATATACATCACACACCTTCTACACACTATGATAACAGTAAGGATACGGTTTTACCTATCAAATATACATCACATACCTTCCATACACTGCAATGATAACAGTATAGTGTCTGACTGTCACCTATCAAATATACATCACATACCTTCCATACACTGCAATGATAACAGTATAGTGTCTGACTGTCACCTATCAAATATACATCACATACCTTCTACACACTACAATAATAACAGTAGTGATATACCTTACGTCCTATCAAATATACATCACATTCAAATTACAATTCAATACAATTCAATTTATAAATTCATTACACACTCGTGTTCAGAACGCCATATTATTATTATTAATGATCCATTTGCTTTTAGTACCGCATTTTACACGACGCAATGCCATAAATTAGACTGGTACTCGCTCCCACCTCTCGGCTTAGTTGCTCGTTAGGCGACTTGGTTGCCCAACGAGCAACTAAGCTGAGAGGTGGGAGCGAGTACCAGTCTATGCAATAAATTAGAACGGACGCACGCAGGCTATATATATGCGCAGTCGTTGATCAAAGTGACGTTTGGTTAGCGATGAAACAAAGTTTAAAAAGTGTTATTTATACAGCAAGTAGTCTCATAAATACTTTGATAAATTATTTAAATACTGTAACTAGAGTGGCTGAAAAAAATGGGTGGACCGACGGTCCATTTAACTTGTTAAATTTACTGGACCGAGAGCGATTTTGGTGGTTTCGGACCACGGTCCACCGCCTAACGTCGAAGACTGTGCCGGTGTGTGAACATTTACATAGTTGGCAAATAAATTTCAGTTGTTTTTCTCCACTTGCAGGCCACATGATACACCATTTGAAGATGGAACTTTTAAACTGACAATAGAATTTACAGAAGAGTACCCAAATAAACCACCAAATGTTAGATTCGTTTCAAAGATGTTTCATCCTAATGGTGAGTATATTGCTCAACTGACCTGAAATTGTGGTATTTTATGGTGATACTGCCGGGTTAACGTGTGTTGAGTGCCTTGTCGTGCCAGCTCTACTACCTCTGCACAGAGCACTTGCCCATTCTGAGATACAGCAGTTAGTAGTTATGATATTGGCACTATTTGCCCCTGCATTATCTTTTATTGTAGACAAAGGGCAACGTTTACTGCTGTGAACTAGAATTTCAAAGTTTGCTGTTTATTGTTCCAGTATACGCAGATGGAAGTATATGCTTAGATATTCTACAGAATAGATGGAGTCCTACATATGATGTGTCAGCTATTCTAACGTCTATTCAGGTGAGCAGCTACGTGTGTCATTATAAGAGATGTATGTTAATTTGCGTTTCACATTGACTATAATCGCTGTACATATGCTGTATAACTTGTAAATTCTACCTTTAAATGGTCTACTGACAGAAATGTTCACATGAACGTTGAAATCCTGTTGTGGTACCCCTATTCCACAATTTTTGTCTTTTTTTCAAACGATGAGTACTAAATTTTTGCTACCTAGTACACTTATTCGTCAAAAGGGCGATAAACAGCGTTTCTTGATTGGACGTAGCTCTTTTGGAGCTGTTTATCGTAAAAGTCTCACAAAGGTTCAATTGTGTCGGCTTGTGATACTAAGGGCGCGTTTGTTTGGTCGGATCCACGGATCTCGATCTGATGGATTCGTTGATCTGACTGTTTGTTTGGTCGGATCCACTGATCTCGATCCACGGAACCCGACCCTTGCTAGCGAGGTGGATTCGAACGGGATCCAATATGGCGGCCCACGCCTCAGCCAATCACAGCTTGTTCTTTGTTATGAACCATCCCGTGATAGGTCACAGCGAAACGCGAACCGTTGAAAGTGAGTTTGCATTTGTTTGGGACAGGGTTCGATCCAGTGGATCGAGATCCGTGGATCCGACCAAACAAACACGCCCTAATACTAAAGCAGGAGGCATAGGGTAGCCCCCACCTGGTAGTCTGGACCCACAAAACTGCCTTTTAAAACTTAAGTGTGAACAGTTGATACCATCAACCAGTGCACTGGGTGTAGGCGAGTGGTTTGTGTAACAGTGTGTTTGTCTGCAGTCAGCGCTGACTCGCGATGTGTTCGTGCACTGGGTGTAGGCGAGTGGTTTGTGTAACAATGTATTTGTCTGCCGCAGTCACTTTTAGACGAGCCGAACCCGAACAGCCCCGCCAACAGTCTCGCGGCGCAGCTCTACCAGGAAAACAAGCGCGAGTACGAGAAGCGAGTAGCGGCAGTCGTCGAGCAGAGCTGGCTGAGCTTCTACGATGAAGATGAAGAGGGCGCCACGAAGCAGGCCGAGGCAATGGCGAGCGGCAGCAGCTGAAGCAGCGTCATTCTTGAATCGCCGACGCGACGACGGCATAGAAATAATTGGGTTCCCATTGTGATGTAAAGATGGGGCGCGCGCGTGTGTGTATAGGTGTAAATGATCTGTATTTGTCGTGCATGCAGAGTCAATCGAAACCAGTGTTGTTGTTTTGTAAAACAAAAGACAGAGGTAATTTGGTAGTGATCTGTCGTGGCTGCGTGGTAGCGCCACCTGCGAGAATGGGCATCTGTCCCTTTGCAGTATTTAGGATTTGGATTTATATTGACATGTGTTGCTTGGGCATGTCGTCTATCAGTCAGATCTTGTGACAAGGAATGCGGTGAAGATACAGAACGGTGATTGTGTGTCACACACACACATTTGCTCGTCGCACTTAATTATGTATCTCGAGACAGCTTATGTCGTTTCGAATACAGCTCTGCCTGGAATTGCTACGTTTGTGTGCCGATAGAAAGCAAGTCTTGGAACACCGATTCAACATTTCTCATAGGCAAAATTTTGCTGAATATCCCTAGCGCTCTACTCATGAGCGAGTAGCTTGCGTAATGAGTTTAAACAAGTATACAGGCCCTGGGCAGATTCCTAAAGGGATTACTATGGAATTTTCAGATGTTTTCTTTCGAATTGGGGCAAACCGATTTGAACGTAGCGTTAATGTTTTTTTTGTTAAAGCATTTGTAATCGTATTCATATTTATATTGCCAAACAGGCGCACTGTTGCAGAAGTAAACGCCTGTACACTTGTTTCCGTTATTGACCTGATGAGGCGAATCGTACGTGTGACACTAGCTGAGTTAGGAGCAAACGCACTACATTACATTGATGTCTATAAACCAGGCCACGAATGCCTGTCGTTACGGAACCAGGTGATTTGATAGATAATCTCACTAAGGGAAGAAAAGGGAGTGGTTAAAAGAAAGGGTCGTTCGTCCAAGCACGCGTATATCAATGTGCACAGCAGCATGTGCGTGCACGTCTGCCTGCCTTCTGTGCACCAGGCTGTGATAGAATCACGAAAACAGAGAGTGTCGTAGGCAGGGTCTGACTGCTGCTACGGTGTCTGTCATGTGCACTGGATGCATGCGTCGTCGTCCCTCTTCTGGTTGAATGCCTTTGTTCAATAGAGGGCGCTTTTCACGGTCCCGACTCTGCGGGCTCAATGCTGGCCACTACTATGTGTCCAGTTTTCGTGTTTGTAATTATTTACCTTTTTTGAAATTTGGCTAAAGCTGTTGTAATGGGTATTTTGCCAATGATTGTGCTATGGTACACAGCGCCGATCCATGGCTTTATTTTACATATGTACACATAATTACATAGTTTGACTTGTGCGGCCGTGCCCTATTTCACCTACTACTACAATATGTGTGCTAGTTCCCATTTAGAAATTAAATTGTGTGAATTGTACATAATATAATTTTTTTGTAAAACATGTAAATATTGTTGACTGTTGCAGTAGCTTATACATAATACATACTTTAGTCAAAAGAACAGCCAAAAGGTTTTCGGCAAACATTTGTGCTACGTGTTACGCATTTCCGCCTTTTCACTAAACATACATGCCGTTGGGCCGCGCTGGCCATGCCGCGGGTGACAGCCGACTGCTTCACTTGTCTGCTTTATGTTCATCTTGATCGTGGTGCAGCGGTGGACCAGCACGTCGGTAATTCTCGCGCGTCGAAGCTTGTCGACAACACCTGCATATTTAATCGGCCGACTAGCGTCGCTGACGGGAGAAGTGAAGTCAAACTCAGTGCGTGTTACTCGATGGTGGTGAGTGGCCCCTGCTGTGAGAGTCGGCGGTGATGTCCCCGCGTGGGGTTGTCGCTCGCTTCTCCCGTGCAGCAGGTTTCGTGCGGCAGCAAGGTATCGGCTCCCTCTGTAATGCGCCGCTGTTGTGAATCAATACCCGTACAGCATGGTCGTGGTGCGAGAGATCACCTGGGGTGTAGTTGGGAAGGCAAGCGGCTTTGACACCAGGTGACGCACGCACGCGCCAGGAAAAGGGAATCCCCGGATGGGAAGAGGAACGTCGGTCGTTGTGTCTAATTTATTGGCACGACGAAATTTTGGCGTCAAGACGGGGAGTCACCGGCCGTAGAAAGCGTGTGTGCATGTATCGGGTGTTGGATCTGTGATGGCAGTCGCTATAGTGTAAATCGATTTCGGTGAAGTTTGTGATGGGTGATGGTGGCTGAGCTTTTCGTATTTTGTGGCAAGCCGGTTCCGTGTTATTACCGATTCCCCATATTTTATCCCTTTGAATGTTAGAACGAAGTATGATCTCTGTTTAGCAACGTACTGGGAATGTGCTTCTTGGCCATGTTGTTGAGCAGGGATGCCGGCTGATTGCTCGTTGACTGTCTCACCCTGAAGATGACGAATACTATAGCTAGGTATAATTGCGAATTGAACAGTCGATGCAGTTACCATCAGTACGGTTCTAGGTGATGCTGTCTATACGTGTAACGTTGCACACGTATACGGCTTATCTAATCATGCCAGAGCTACGTTTTACTACACAGTATGAAGTACAGCACTGTATGTTGTATTACCTATTGGAAAGCAGACTATTTATGCGGAATGTGGAAAGTATAGATAATTGTGAGCCCGTCGGATAGATGTGTCTACCATTCACTGCTTTCGGTGGTTTAATAACTTATCCATGGCACACTGTGTGTACGTACATTCACTGGTGCGAATTGTGCACGGTGCTCTCCTCGCACTATTCTTCTTAATATATTGCCATAGTGTGGTCTCTATGTGTGCCATACGTGTACCGTGCGTGAGTGAAGTTGTAGAGTGCATTTTACGGTCAGTAGTGTGGTGTAGCACTATAGCACTGGAAATATTGGAAATGCGTTTGAAGAAAAATAAATTATGTTTAACAGCCATGCACTCTCTCGTTTTTCACTGCAGTCTCTCGTTTGCTGGCTTGCGTGTTGTTATTTGATTATTCTCTCTAAATGCCATTGTATTATTTCTTTCACATGACAGCTTCTTATACACTCAACTGTTTAGATGTTCGAAGCTTCATCATTGATTTTAGATGGCTCTCGTACCTATCGTAAATTCACATAAAATTTTCAACAAATATACATACGATGCTACCTTTATAAACCTACACATTTGGTAGGAAAATAGTTTTATTTAAATTAATATTTAATATTAAATATCACCCATACACAATGATAGTTACACATGTACACATAAGAAATAAACCCATCGCAACCATATCAAAGCCATGACCTAATTAAACATTTTAGTACCACATAATCGCAAGTGAATAAAAAAAAACTATTGTGGGTTGTGAGTGATAATCATTTGAAATAAAACCCTTGAATTTTTATAATGAAGCTGTTTACTTTACACAAATTCACTGAAGTGGTTTTTATGTCCCACAGACTCTGTACATATATAGTAAGCCATATAAAGGTTAGCACTTGCCCAGATTTCTGCATTAATTTCAATAAAAATTGAGTTGATTTACAATACCTTTTTAAGATAGCACTGGTAAGATGCATGAAGATTGAAGAATATCGATAACTACTCGATGGCAACCTTAGAGATTTTACTATTAGATGCAGTTAAATTGGGCATTAATTGTATTACAAACTATTTCCAAAGTTTAATACTAGTGATATATAAACGGGCATGGCAAAATGTTTAGTGTATGTACCATGTTAGTCCAGTGCATCTTAGATCATCACTGAGGGGCAGTACAAGCACTACTGTTACAAATAACATATTGATGATTTAAAAATAACTTGTTATTATTACTGCACAGCAAAAATTGATATGCCAGTTAAACAAAATTCAATTTAACTGAAAATTGTGAAAAAAAACAGGAGTTGCGTTATCTCTAAGCAAAAGAAAGGGTTAAAACAATGCGATACAATGGGGATTATATACCAGAGTTACACTGCTCATTAAAGGATAAAGAAGAAGATAGCTTATGTATCATCATATGCTATGTTCAAGTGTTTACTGAAGCTAGACATGGCAGTGTAACTGAACATTCTTGATCTCTGTTTTAACATCACATAGCAAAAATATCAAAGTACTCTTGGCCGCTGTGGCATGCACATGTTGTAATATGCATTCTGGTCCCAGAAATTTACACTTTTCCATCCGCACCAGCCCTGCAAACAAAGCAACGTACTGCAGACAAGATCAAATTATTTGATCATTACCTATTTATCTATAGCTGATTACCCTGTATGGATGTATAGATGAAAATATGTGTATACCAAATCTATATTCCTAAGATACAATCAGGAGTCTATCAATAGATATATTGATAGACTCCTGATACAATATATACCAATCCCTATATGCATAAGACTCACTACATTACTACTTACTACCATCACAATTGCATTTAACTGAAAATGCCAATATTGGTATGACATTGGTATGACATTGGTAGGGAGACGTGACCCTAGGTAGTGCATAATTTCCGTTAAAATAGATTTAAATCATGCTACATACATGCCAGCTTTTCAGCTGCAGGCTACAGACTTAGACAGGGATATTTCTTATTTGTTAATTTAAGAGGAGAAGGATTGCAATATCTTATGAACCACTCTTAGTTTTAGTTATAATATGGACGAATTTGGCCTAAAATAAAAAAATTCTGTTAAACAGCAGTTAGGTATAACTATAATTGCACTTTTGTGATTAGCCCTCGGTTTGTAACATGCAAAATAAATCGGGAATAAAAATTCTAGGGTATAGTGGCCCTTTAAATAATTATAGCAGTCTATGTTACGCTGATAGGGTCTATGTCCCCCAGGGTACTGCCGGAACGTACCCTGGTACTAAATACTACTATCTAATACGCCGGACCGTACCTTGCCTACTCCACTTACGAGTCTAGGGAGCCGCCTACGCCTACTCCCTAACCCTAACCCTAACTCTAACCCTAACCCTAACCATATCAGCTAGATAGTTACCAGCGTACGTTCCGGTATACCGTACCGTACCCAGGGTACGTTCCGGCAGTACCTTAGGGGACATAGACCCTATGAGCCTATGTTACAGTGTACGTATGTTCATGTTTAGCAATACCTTGGTCTGAATGACTTTAAGGTCCTCTCCTCCAGTGTAGTGTGGATCAAGAATGAGGAATTTAACATCTCCTGTTACCTCATTCCAATCCACACCAAGAATTGTATGTGCCAACACACCACCACCTATAAAAACAAGATTTCCATATACTGTTCCTTAGATGCAATGATCACAACCCAACTCAAACTAACTGTGCTGTGACTGTTAGCGCTGTGGTGTTGGTTCGCTGTATGGCTGTGACAGAGATTACTGTGACCGTGGTTAAGTGCGTGTCTGTAGTAGAATACTGAACGTTGTAATGTGGAGTACACATAAATATTATTTCTTACCGATCATGATGGGTGTGCCATGCACCTGGAAATGAACAGCAAGCTCTCTAGCTTTGGTGCCCATCTCTGACCCTGCATTCACAAACAACAGCTTGGACGTGACCTGAAAATGCAACCAGAATGTATTTATTATATAACAGCAAATCTATTGTGCGGCACACAAAGTGAGATATTTCCAAACCAAAGCTTAAAATTTTCAACCAAAATGAAGTATGGTAGAAAATCTCACATGCATATACTCGATAAATAGCCTACTCAAAAATAGCCTGAAGCTAAAAGAAGACATTTAAAGAACATACCTGCAACAGATGATCTAAGACAAAGCTCACTTCACTGGAGCCAATCCATTGCCTGGAGTCAATAAATGTTTTAGGCTTATCTCCAATTTCCACTAGAGCCTGCGGAAGATGCATTATCCGATTAAATTCATGTGTATAATTGATGTACAGAGCCAGAGCATAACTATTAGAATAGCTCTATGAAAATATGTGTTACCAGCCATTAATGCAGAATGTCTCTCCTAAAGATTAGTGACCAAAAATAAGTTCACAAATGACAGAACGAAGCTGGACTTCATTGTCGCCACCAATAGCAATATATACCTCTTGGATTTCTCTGTGCGTTGGAATGCTTCTGTTAGTGTAGCCCTGGTGGCGGAACCAGGAAATAATGGTCTGCAGAGACCTATACGCACAGCCCCAGTGGTTGTCATCTATTCGGTCTTGCATGTAGTGGTGGTACGCATACACACCCTGCACCAAGTACTGTCTTCCACCATTCACTGTACCCAAAAATATGTAAAGCAGTTGCAATTACCAAGTGACTTAATTTGTCTTAGTGAACTTTAAAGTGAAATACTGTACCAGTAGATAGATAGTCACTGCTTGCAGATATGTATTGCTACAACTGAAAGCCCCTATGAGAACAAAATGCCATGACTTCATGTACCGTTGATAATTTCCTGTTAATTCGTAGATGTTGCCTTCGGCATGGCATGACTCAAGATACTATATACTTTACAAATACATATACATATATAATATATATATATATAGTATCTTGTCTTTGGTATATTCTTGTTTCTTGCATTCGATTTATAACACCGTACATAATATGGTTATATTACGTTATATAGAGATAGAGTATAGACAGAGAGTATTATATAGAGTAAAATATACACACGCTCAGTCAAAAGGAAAACAATTTAAGGATCAGCATGACATCTGTATTGAACATGAGTTTAAAATGCAAAACAAATCGATCATAAATGAAAGTGTCAATGACACTGTAGCTCACACAAAAAAGGACACAAATGAGTGAGTGAGAAGAAGTCAGTTTTAATTGAGCAATCATCGACGTACATTATAGAAACGAAGAGTATATATGGGAGAACTCCCATTATATACTCTGATAATTATGTGTAATTTTTTTATGTGAAAATAAATGTTTGAGATGTGAAAGTCTGAGATGTGGGCGAGTGATGGCGTTACACTAAATGATCGCCATTTAACGTTTTTATAATATTCAGATTTAGGCACTGCCTAAATGCGGAGCTCCCGATGTGCAACGTGTAAGATTGAGAGGATACGCTTATTCCACGTAGCTGCTATATACCACGTGACAATGGTGTTTCCCTGCCCATAACACAACTTTGTCAAAGGATAATTGGTTGCATGGAAGTGTTTACTTCGTATGAGTTTTTCTAGGCGGTAGCACACGGTTTCCATCTGTATATCGCAATAATAATTTATAAAACCAAAATGAATCACAATTTGTGATGGTAGATGGCGCTATACCCGCTTTGATGTTAGCGGATGCGTTCGAAATAAATAGTTATGCTGCGTTCCGACATGTTTTGTAAAACTTTACTCTAATATAGACGTTTTATCGGCAGGGTGGCGAGGAAAACCAATTTTTCATTAAAGATATTGTCAATGAAATCTTGTAAAACAAACCAGACGAGTGTGACACCACAGACTGTTTATCTGCGTGTCTATATAATATGCCTATATAATTGCCAAAACCTACCTAATTTGCATAATTTTTTTCAAATATCAAAACCCCTGTAATACGTTTTGGGGCCAGCCCTTATTCATTCACATACCAAAAAATTCCAAAATCCAGTTATCGTTGACCGTAGCCAAATGTTGACGGAAGGACGAACGGACGACGACGGCGACGACGACGACACCCATGGCAATAGCCTCATCTTGACGATGTCAAGGTGAGCTAAACATGGTCTACATGCTTACCACCAGATGGCAAAAGCCCTACATGAGGGTTAGTAAGATACCCGCGATCGCCTGGCTACATGCACTAAAAAGTGCATTCAGCCTTTTTCAACAATGGCCGATCGTCTGGTAGGTGTAATCTCTCATGCAGTTCTTTTCGGTAGCTCTCTGTAATGAACGCGATAAAAATGGATATCAAGAACAAGAATATTTTGCATCACTCTCTAACTCTAACATGCTGAAGCAATTGCGATTCTATTATAAAATATTCTATTAGGACGAATTAGGTGTTTTTTACCTGCTAGTAGGGGAATTTCGGGTATTGCATTCTACTCAGTTCTGCCCTTTCTGGCATACTCATAAATGTTAATGAATTTTGTAAATTCCATTTAGCACAAGATATAAGCACAAGAGAAGCAAAGAATGGTATGGAATTGACAGTAAGCATTTATCAGGTTATACAGATAACACATAACTATAGTTACTCACTGGATAGATTAGCAGATCTGCAAGTTAATTAAAACATATTCAATATTAGGCATTCCTGACAATGCTAAGTAGAAATCATAACTACAATCATTCACAAGCATGACTTTGTATACCTAGCGCTGCATCATCCATGCTGTCAGGATATATAGTTGTCACAAGGTGTTCAAGCATGTCTGGGTTGAAGTGGTGGGGCCTCATCAATGACGACTGCACACACTGTGTCGACATAATTATCACAAGGTTGTAAATTATGTAATTTCTGACACAATCTCTAATGCGACAGCAATCGCATTGTTATGCAATGCTATATATACATCAGTGCTTGACACTCGGGAAAATTTATTTCTTCTGGCCCAAAATGAAAAGTGGTAGCCCAATTTTCCATTGGTATTTCTACCATGACGTACAACGGTACATGACTTTAGGCCCTACAAGCTTGTCACATTGAACACAAAGCCACATTTGCATCATGCATGCCACATTTGCAAAAACGCAGGGGCACATATGGAACCACGCTAACACGGCGACAAGTTTTAAATCAGCATTATCTCCATTTACATAGGAAAGCCGTGTCCGCCGAGTGTTGCGATAAATCGAAATCCGAGCACTTGTTTTGCGCTGTGTTAACGCCGAACAGAAATTGTACTCGCCCAAAGATTTTATTTTGGGCCTGTAATATTTTGTTTTTGGTATTTTTTAATCGCCCAGCAGAGGTTTTGGTCGCCAATGGCAACCGGGCGACCGGCTGTGTCGAGCACTGTACATTGTGTAGACAAAGAGATCAGGTGGATATACTATTGATAATAGTGCTAACATATACCTTGTGGAATTTCCTGAAGCTCAAGTCAATGGCATCCAGTTGGCGGCACACAGCTTGACACAGTACGACCGTCATTTTAGCAGCAGGATCAGACTCCATCACTATGGCAACTGCATCTATGGAAAGCTGGTGTATCACAGTGGTAAAAGCCTCTGAAACATAAAATAAAAATCACTGGGTAATCGCTCCTACGTGTTTAGCGAATTTCATCTTGCTTTAGTAGACTTGCTGCTATAATGTAAATCATCATTTAAGTTTTACAGCAATATATAACATTTTACAAGACCAATTTCTAGTATTTCACTGCTACATACAATAAACTGTCATTATGCATTGCATATATATTGGGCAGCATGCCTCCTTCATGAATGGTTAAATTATTACATACATCTATCTTACCTGAATATCACAACACTACAGTACATCAATTTGACATTCTTTTTAATTCCTTCCATGGAAACTGCACACCTAACGACAGCCTGTATCTTAATTTGGCACATGGGAATGTAATTACGTTGTCTATCATGATGAGCCGGTAGCGTTATTTCTCATACGTACTCATTTCTAGCTGGATAACAGGTATGCACGTGAGAGTCCTTCCAACAGCATTATCACCTGTTGTCTGTAGTAGCAGGCCTACATCCACAACAGCCTAGAGCAACAACAACAGTGTTGTTCACCATCACCATCATCGTCATCACCATGCACCATCATCGTCGTCGTCGTCGTCGTCGTCGTCGTCATCATCATCATCATCATCATCACAACCACTGTTTTAATCACAGGCAACATCATCACCACAACTCACGCACACTCACTCGTTTCTGCACGGTCTTCTTTTTCGCCTCCATCGCTCTAGCGTCATCTGTCTGCAGTGATGCCCACAGGTCAGAGACAAACATCAGGCTACTGCTGGCATCCTTCTGCAGCAGCACATTGCTCTGCCGTACGTGGAATGCAGAGACGTTGCTGCTCACCAGCTGCTTAAGGTCTGACACTGCACTTCTGATACTCGCCAATGTCTCACCTGCAACACTTTATAGACTCAACAACCGAGCAGATGTATCTAATACAATACCGAGGATGACGATTTTTTCAGACTTCACATTAGCAACCAACTATGAGGCTAGACAGAGAAAGATTCTGCTTTTTGCACTTCTCATTACATACGTTATAGTTTAACAGTATACTGGTTTATGTTTCTATATACCTCCTACATCAAGACTACTTGCTTCTTGGTTAGATGGAATGCAGACTATATGACAGAATTATTCAACATATAATACTTACATATATTGCCACTAAGGTCAAAACTGAGTCGTAGCTTGCCCTGGACTCTTAGCACAACTTTATCCGAAGGCACGTCCGAGATGCAGCATGCAGGCTGAGATATAACTGTGTTCCTGAATAAACCAACAAAAAAGTGTGATAACTGTTTAGACCTTTGGTTGATATTCCCTTTTGATAAATTCTTTCTGATGTTTAAAATATAAATTCTATAATGTTAAAACTATAGGTTCTGCTACAGGGAGTCATAAGCTAATACCACATATAGTAACTTGTTTCAAGGTGTCAACAATAAAAAGGAGATTACCCAAATAAAGTATACGGTAGTACGAATACATACACCCACCTGATGTCATACTGATAGATATTACTGGGCTTAACACCCGCCACTAAATGTACTGCTACAATGCATGGCGACTCACATCCAGAAATCTCCTGCAACCACAACAAATTATCAATGTAATGAACCAATGCACAGTTATTTACTATGTCTTACCTGCATTTAAGAAATGTGAAGGGAGTTTCTCATAAGTGTATATATGACATTCGTTTTTCCAACATAAGTTGCAAATTAAAAAGAGACAGTATTGCATGTCAAAACATTACACTTAATTGTTCTATTTTGATTATTACAAATGGTTGTTTTCACCTAGTTTAATTCTGCTATGACCCACCTGAAATTCAGCAGTTAGATTCTTGAATGCAAACTGCTTTACGTGCTCCTCGGTAATTGTCTCCTGACTACCATAATACACACCACATATTCCTACACCTGGAGCAATATTAAGTCACCATAATTAATCAGTTATATAAGTTATATTAAGTTATTATAGGTTCATGTTATCAGAATCGAAACTTAGAATTGTTGACTTTACATGGACAGCTCTATGCCCTGGGGAGCAGGTTCAGGCTACCACCTTCCAAATTTCGGTATTGTGCATACCTCCAGGGAGAAGAACTAGAGTTTCTTTCAGCTGGCTAACAAGCGAAGACAATTTCTGAACACGACATGAAAGTGCTCCAATTACTATCCATTTCTCTCGATTCCAAATCCCACACAAATAGCCATATGACTCAGGTCCAACACAAGACTCCAGTGCCTGAAAAAGTTAACATTTTATAGTAAACCATCGAAAGTTGCACGCTTGAAGATGGCTTTCTGACCAACTTCTCTCAAAATTCCTTTATAAATATAATATTTCTATCATAATATGATCAGGCCTATAGGATTGCCTTTTTTCACCTCGTACAATTTGCAAAGGAACAGAGGATATAATATATATATATATATATGTAATAAAAACTTTAGACAATACTCATAATCAGACTGGTTCATAAGTCTACCTGCAGGGCTACGGTACCGCTGGCATTTGCCACCTTCACTACATTTTTACTTGATTACTTCATTAGGACAGTCTTTGTACACTTCTTTTCCCATACCCATCACCTGTTTATGCCTTGCTTAGCGCAGATGATAATGTGAACAGTGGCTATAGTTTTTCATGTGTGGCTAAAATTAACTTTGGTGACTCGTCAATGGTCACTCATGTGATCAAGTCTTCAAGTCTTGGCTCAAACTTTAAGACATCCAGAGGGAGCCCTGTACCTGTGTAACTCTTTGTTCCTGCTACAAAAGCTGCAGTGGTAGGAAATAGCAGTGAACCTTTGCAGCATGGTACGCTATGCTGTACTGTGTACGTAGCCCGTAATACGTTAGAAAACTCTAGCCAACAAGATAAAACATCCTGATTTAAGCCTGCAACTCTGGAGTTCAATGCAAATCACCATAAATTGGTCAGATTGAGATTTGGCTGTTTATCAAACGCAATCATACCGAAAATACAAATATGCAGCCCTAAATAATTTAAATAGTGACAGTGTTGCATTGCGTCGGCATCACTTATAGCCTGGCACGCTTCGAAGATTCACTGAAGTTCCATCGCAGTGTCAGTTGCTTGTATACTATACTACTTTACTAGCCCTAGTGCCCAAACATTTATTTTTATATTGATTAGCTCGATCAAATACCAAAGTTTAGCCAATACTACTGCTTTGCAAGTGTGTGTTCTTGCTTAGTTCTTAGCTATGTGACTATGTCATGTCTATCATCTCTATGTCTTCTTACTATATTACTTTGTAAATTTTAATTTTATATTGATTTATTGTATTGCATTTTCACTATTATATTCTTTCAGGGTATGAAATTCTGATTTTTTTTGCACCGGCCCAGAGGGTTAATTGGCAACAGAAGTTTTTTTTTTATCAGCCCTCACCATAATTTACCAGCCCTCACAAATGTTTTTTTTTTCAAAAAATTAAGATAGGACTGTTTCACCGACTCTTGCTTGTCCGAAAAATGTTGTAGTGTGCGGCATCGCATAGTAGCTGTTGAACAGACTATAATGCAGATCGTGAATGATGTCCGTAGTGTTTTTGTCAATGTCATGTTTCACGCTTGTATTCTTGATTTCAAATTTGTAAGATGTTGATAAATTATGGCGTGATATCCTTTAGGTAAAACAGTATTGTAGGCTATTTGCTCATTAATGCTATAAATATAAATGTAGGTACTCGCTCACACGGCTGAAACTACCGCCACCGGCTCGGAGGGCCGGTGTTTTGCCAATGTTACGGCCCTCCAAATAATTTGCCGGCATATGCCGGTGGGCCGGTGCTAATTTCGTGCCCTGTTACTTATATGCGATTGTTTCACTTATTGAAGTTATTCATTGTCATAATCTGTATGTTTTACAGTTTCAAACAAATAAATTGAATTGAATTGGATTGTATCATTGTAATTAGTAATACGTACTATAGTGTAGTACTAACTACTACTACTAGTACTATAGTATTAGTACTATAGTATACGTACTACCAGGGGTTAATAATGTCTAATGACAAACTTATTATTGGGGTTTGTCATTATTAACCCCTACCCTGGTACTACTACTATTACTACTGCTGAGAGGGTCTATGTCCCCCGGGGTACTGCCGGAACGTACCCTGGGTACGGTCCGGTATACCGGAACGTACCCTGGTACTATCTAATATGCCGGACCGTACCTAGCCTACTCCACTAACGAGTCTAGGGAGTTGCCTATGCCTACGTCTACTCCCTAACCCTAACCCTAATCCTAACCATATCAAATAGTGACCAGGGTATGTTCCGGTATACCGGACTGTACCCAGGGTACGTTCCGGCAGTTCCCTGGAGGACATAGACCCTATGAGCAGTACTACTAGTAATATAGACCGAATAATTCTGTCCCAGATAACCTTTTTTATATTTTGAGGGTTATTGGGACAGAACGGGGTGCATTGAAATTTCGTGATATCCCATGCAAAATGCGATCGCATGCAAAATTCATGCGCTGCTAATGCGGCACGTCCGCCGGTATCGGCGGGTAAAAAAGCCTACCGTTCCCTTCTACATGGCTTTACCTTGCTACTGATGTGCGTGAATATTCACTTAAATCGTTATTCACTTCTTAAAAGATTGTTTTTCAGAAACCTCGCTTCATTCCACTTTAGTAAATCGCATTCGCCATTTACAAACAATCAGACCAATCAGAGCGAGCCTTACAATAGCCTGGTTTTCTCTTGTATCTGTGGCGCTGTAGGAGGGCTAGAGAAAATTATTTTAGTCACGTGGGTTCGTGCGTTCCACTCTGGTTTTGTTTCAAATCTAAATTTGTATTCCGAATAAATTTCTTCTAAGTAGTCCATTGTGATTTTCTTCTAAGTAGTCGACGTAGTACCCAAGTTAATAAAATATTTCCTCTAACCCTACAGCAGCGCCACAGATACAAGAGAAAACCAGGCTATTGTAAGGCTCGCTCTGATTGTTTGTGAATGGCGAATGAAATTTACTAAAGTGGAATGAAGCGGGGTTTCTGAAAAACAATCTTTTAAGAAGTGAATAACGATTGAAGTGAATATTCACGCACACCATTTACAAGGTAAAGCCATGTAGAAGGGAACGGTAGACTTTTTTTACCCGCCGATACCGACGTACGGGCCGCATTAGCAGCGCATGCATTTTGCATGCGATCTCACGAAATTTCAATGCACCCCGTTCTGTCCCAGTATAACGCATCCAAAATATAAAACGTTATCTGGGACAGAATTATTCGGTCTACTAGTAATAGTACTAGTACTAGTCTTACTCTTACTCTTACTCTTATAGCTCCAAGAAACGGTCTTGCTAGGGTTAGAAGACCGTTTCAAACATTGGCTGCAGCTAAACACGTAGTTGTCTTATTTGCCAAGTATCGCCAAAGAACACTTCACATGTGATATACCAAATGAATCAGTATACATCCACCTTCTTGTAACCAGCAGTGTGCTACGATGTGCTGGGTACTTACGGGGTTACAGCAACTTTTTGAGACTAATGCAACCAAATTTATGAATTTGCCACTATGTTAATTGTATCATTCCGACTGTGACTAAAATCCGCAATGGATCGAACAAGGGAAATTAAACGATCTGCGGTCCTCATGTAAACCACCCCTACATCCGAGAACATGTCATCTAAGGTTTTTACAAATGGCCCAGACATTTGTGAACATCGTTTCACTTGCTTTGGTGTATAATTGCCGTGAGAGCCATCGTGCAGCTATTGTACTATTTTTGTAGTATTTTCTAGCGAATATTTTCCGTTTCGGGTTTTCCGTGTCTCTCTTCCGTTGAGCATGCGCAGTGTAAACATGGCGGGTAAACAATTAATCGTGTAAAGCTGCTTGGAAAGTTGATATGCTGTGAGAATTAGCAGATTATACCATGAATTAAGAGATACATTCTAGTTTAGAAGCAGGACAACTGTGAGTTAACGTTCATATTTCAAACAAGGCAAGTCAAAGGTGGTAATAGAATAGTTTTATTTGAGATATACACAGTTATTCATCTAGATCTGCAGAGGTGATAGGTTTTTCGCAGTGGCTACGCGTCCGGAACCGGTCGCCTAGCCTCCAGGCTACGCGTCCGGACATCCACTCCCACAGTGATCGCGCGACTCTCGTACACGCATGACTGCGCAGCGGGACGCTCTGCGGCCGTCTATCCTTTCATCCGTCGATCCTCTCTCGCTCTCTCTCACACACACACACGCACACGCACACCTCTCTGAGGCTCTCTCTCTCTCTCTCACACACACACACACACACACACACACACACACACACACACACACACACACACACACACACACACACACACACACACACACACACATGGCAATCAGCAGAGCGTCCCATTGCGTAATCATGCGTGTACGTGTCGCAAGCTCACTGTGTGAGATGGATGTCCGGACTCGTAGCCTAGCGGCTCCTCGTCCGGAACCGGTCGCGTAGCCACGGCCTAGGATTTTTGTATGGAAGGGTGTCAGGCTGTATAGACAATCGGTCGCACAGCCTGCATGGTCGGGCTATTAGTATTAGTAATACTAATAGTATTACTATTACTCTTAAAAAGGGGGGCTTATGTCAGGCTTGCGAGCCGACTCGACTGGAAGCAACTGGATTTCGAGCAACTGAAAGCGATCGGCAGCAACTAGTTGCGTCCAGCTGCTCAGAACTAAAATACGCATCAGGCGTGAGTCTACTATGTAATTAAAGTTGTAAAGTATGATACCTTTGGCACAGAATCATGTAACACAAATTTCATCATGGGGGCTGCCATTTTGAAACCGAACCCTTCCGAACGATGGCAGCGACATCAGCGGAGTTTTCCAAATCTGTCAATGTCTACATGCGCGACACGTCACAGAAGGTCACGTGACCGCTCAGGAACCGTCTCACACCTTTTGATGATTCGACTAAAATGACCGTAGACCACAATATTATAATATATGCAACTAATTATCTGGTGACAATATGTCTTGTGTTTGTATGGAAATTAAATTTAATGTTAATTATTAGTTCCTATAATACTATTTAAGATTTAAGTAGGACTATTTCGGATCGCGTAACTACTATCATGACGTCATAAACGATGGTTATCCGTCAATGCATGACGTTTTCCCCTTAGTTCGACCTCTTTCACCAATTGTGAGGAAAGTGTGGAACGTTCTTCGCGTGTCTCCAGATTGAAGCCAGCTTTTCTGCGCTATTTCCCTACGTAACCAAGATTAAACATGGGAAAGGCCAAGAAGGATGACCGCATGACATTTGGTCAAAATTTCATTTCTGGCGGTATTGCTGGAGTCACAAGTAGAACGATCACTTCCCCACTCGACGTTGTCAAGATTCTGTCCCAAGTTGGCACCAAGGACACCAGAGCCGGCTTCCTGAAAACCTTTTCAAATGTCTACACAAATGAAGGAGTCAGGGCTTTCTGGAAGGGTAATGGTATCGCTTGCATTCGTCTTTTCCCCTACTCCGCTATCCAGTTTGCAGCTTTCAACCAGTTCAAGCTATGGATGGTGGATGAGCATGGCCGCCTCGGCGCTCTATCTGCCATGGCCGCCGGTTCAGGAGGTGGAATCGTTGCTACCGTTACCACGTACCCAACTGACATGGTGAAAACCAGGTTGACAGCTCAGCATTCCGACCCCACAAAGAAGAAGTACAAGGGTATCATTGACGCCTTCAGACTGATCGCAAAGGAGGAGGGAATCTTGGCTTTCTACAAGGGAATGTCCACCTCTATCATTGGTAAGTTTGTAAATGCGTAAGTAATAAAATTATGATAAAATATTGTAATCTATGTGAGTAATGATGAGTCATGTTAGTGAGCAGTTGAAGTAATAATTCTATGTAATTGCTTCTCAAGGTGTGATACCCTTCGCTGGAGGTACGTTCATGGCGTACGAAGTCTTGGACAAGGCCTGGGGCAAGCCCAAGACTGAGATGTCTCCCGTTGAGAACTTCATTAACGGCTGTTTGGCAGCTTCTTTCGCACAGACGTTCTCCTTCCCATTCGACACCATCAGAAAGAAGTTGCAGGTGTGTTATCTATTCATGATAATTATTATGTAACCTTGGTGGTTATGCTTCTATGAGTGCATAAGAAGGTTTGTGTAGCTTATACACAAATTTTCCTTAATTTAACCTTGAATGGACGATGTCATCATTAATGATTGTAAAATGCCATCAGTTAAACTGAAATGGAAGTCTGATAAATTGTTACCATTGGTTAATAATTAACAATTTGATATGTTAACAATGTGTTACTCCCTTTTAGAATAGTCATTGAAGGCATGTAAGGTAATTGACACTGTGATGGGTAATGTTGCATGTTGGCTCATTTACCATTAGCCAAGGTTATTTGTCTATCTAGCTAAACAGCTCATAATTCATGTAAATATTTTACCATGATATAGTTGGATTAAATGTTTAAAGACATATACTAACTTTGGACTGGGAGAGCCATTGACTGTCTGTAACCATAGCTATTGTGTAACTTTGGACTGGGAGAGCCATTGACTGTCTGTAACCATAGCTATTGTGTGTATCAAGGTTGCTTAGGCCATCCTTAAAAAATTATATGTTTGCTGTCCTCCGACCGACCCACGAAAATAGCCGCGACCCAAAAGTTTTTTTTTGACATTTTGGGTTTCATTTTTTTTTTAGCTCATCTGACGTAGTCAGATGCAGCTTGTAGAATCGCATGAGCGTCCGTCCGTCCGTGCGTCAACAGTTGGGCACAAATCTTAACCGCTCGATGTACGGTCACGATATTCGGGACGTCGGGGGGGGATCGTGAAAAGGACTCGGGATGACCAATTTGGGGGTCAAGGGTTAAAGGTCAAGATGTGTAAACGGAGGGGGAATATTTCCCCCTTAACTTAAGGTATAGGAGGAAATACGGAATTGCGGCACAAATCTGAACGGCTCGACCTATGCTCTTAATATTCCTTCGGTGTATAGTGTGATGGGCAGGAAACCCATCACCAGTGCGAAATTGGAGGTCACAGGTCAAAGGGCAGTGGGGAAAAGGTCGGATATCAGACATTTTCTGAGGACATGGTCTGACGGAGCGATTGGAAAACTTTTTTGTTTCAGCGGTGACCTACCATTTTTATGGCTTTATTGAAAGGACCATGAAATGTGCTTTCAAAGTGTCTGATAACCTTTTGACCCTCAAGAGGAGGGTTAAACATGGATTTGTTGACTGTTAACAAAGGACTGAACTGTGTTTGATGGTAGTACCGGTACTTGTGTGATCGTGGAAGATTAAATTTCACAGTGAAATTCTGCATGCAAAACTTACTTGAACAACGTTTACGCGCCTTAAATCATATATGAACTTCATTCTCTATATGAGATTCTGTACGTTGGAATAACAATTGTCAATAGCACTTACGCAAACGTCTGTTTTGATTAAGGCAACTATAAAATAGGCTGATAGCATGGTTGATAGTATCACAGCATGGGTAAACGTAGACTGGTACTCGCTCCACCATCGAGTAACTAAGCGAGAGGGTGGGACGTTACCAGTCTACGTAATACGATGCAGTATGCACGCCATCTATGGAACAGAGTGAGAAGAATTTCCTGGCAGATAGGTCAAATGTATATTGCGCTCAAAAGTGCAGAAAGAATTACTTTCTTAACTTCAGTTTAATCAATCTTGAGATAAGTAATTGCAGAATTGAATCGTCAAACCTACCAATGAAAATTTGCCAGTTTTGTTACTGTCCTTGGCAATGGCTCTCCGTCGACGTTACAATAGTGTGCAATGTCGGGATATGGTGGAGCATGCTGCTTGTGGACGCTGCAGAGCCGATGGTTGACTGTCAGTCGAGATGTGTTGATCCTCCCGACATTGAAGAAATCTGTACGTTATACGTGCGTTTGCCTACCTCTGCCCGCCATCTTCGTCGAAAGTTTGGACGCCGCGCGGCGAAATCGGAATGTACATTTCAATCGATGACGTAACTGATACAGTAGCGCGCGCGTGGTGTTATTTGTTTATAAGCAATTTAGTCTGACTGACTCTCTCCCTCTCTCTCCGCTCGCTCGCTCTCTCTCTTTCTCTCTCGCTCTCTCTCTCTGCAATAAAAAAATTGTTTGCTGAAATGATGTGTACGCAACTGCGTATCTGCATATCTGCGCCTAACAAAGGTGTCACTACGCACGACTGAAATTTACGTTTATAATCGTAGCAACAGACCTCAGATGAGCCCAGTCGCTCTGCGGCACTTGTTTTTTTTACATTCCTCATAGTTAAGACTGAAACACAAAGCATGTGTGGCAAACATGAGGACAGACTTAAAATAAACTATTATGCCTCACACACACAAAAAATACCTACCTACCTACCCACTAAAAAATCATGGGTCGCGGGGACAGCAAACATGGAATTTTTAAGGATGGCCTTAGGTCAGAAATTTGGTAATGGGAATATATATTTTTGTAATTTTGGCCAAGTCAGCTAAAATTTGCAGTGGTTAGTATATGTGATTGCTGTGCACTTTTCTAGGCTCAGAGCAAGGCGATCGCGGGAGGTGGAGGCGTTGATATCGAGTTCAACGGTATGGTTGATGCCTTCGTCCAGACTGTGAAGAAGAACGGAATTTTTGGACTGTGGCGTGGAACCACCGCAACCTGGCTAAGGTAAATAGTTGAAACCATGTAAAGTGAGACCTGCTGCCATATTCAGTAGTGGTGTTCCGATTAATCGAGTTCGTCGATCATTACTCGTTTGGGCTGCCGAGTTGATTAATCGAGTAGAAAATCGGACGACCGAGTACAACTCGAACTTTTTTTTTGATTGAATTTGATGAGCAGTTATGTTGCAATGCCTTTTAGAGTGTTACCCGTCCGTAACCCTAACAGTATCCTTAATTTACTTACCATTAAATACTAGCTACACATACATAATGTTCAATATTCCTTCGCAATACGCCGGTTGTGTCGACGATGACGCGTCGTCGCCGCAATCTAAAATGATCGATGATTAATCGATCATCGTCGTTTTGTAAAACCGATGATTTATCGATCATCGTCGTTTTGTAAAACCGATGATCAATCATGAAATTTGGACCGATCTCCAACACTAATATTCAGTCATGTTCCCAGAGTATTTGTTATGAATTAAAGTAGGAATTCAATATTTGGAGTTTTACTACGGATTAGCTCAAAATGGTCTATTTGACCTCATTCAAAGGTCAACCACTATCGAAATTTTGGGAAGCGTTGCACGGTGCGATTCATAACTTTCTGTGTTTTAATGTGGCCCACAATTTTCTTTCAATATAGTGTCTTACTATAGTATTGTATTAATATTATTTTTCATATTTGTGTAAAGCCAGGATTTCAAAATTAATTTTCGACAGTCTGGTTTTCCCCACTTTTACGATACTTTATCGTTATTGCCCGAGTAACAGCAACTGTCTAGACTAGAGTAACGCTAACATGTCATATTCAGCTTTATTCACCAAAACATACACGATTCGAATTTGATTTCTGCATATTCAGGTTGCACCATATGCCGGGTTCATGTTCATGGGCTTCGAAGCCAGCAAGAGAGTGCCTGTACAGGCAACGGATACACAACAAGCCCGATCTGGGACAACCCCAAGCCCGGTGTGGACCAGAGTTTCACACCCACCGAGCTGGCCGCATGGTACAAAAAGGAGAAGGAGCTCGGCCACGACCATGACCATTAGAGAGTTCGCGATGTTAGGCAATGCACTAGGTCGCTTGGTTCCAATTTGTTGTGTTAGTATGGTCGAACTCATATGTCAGTTGTGTCGCCCATTCGCATAAGCTCATCATGCAAAATGTCTAGTTATAAACTTTTGAAAACGTCTTTTGTCTGTAACTGCAGTGCCTGAAACAAAAATGGCTACTTCTCTGTAATACAAATTAATAGTATGCGCAGAGGTTTGCATATGTGGATAGTATTTTCTTTTCAAATATTGCAATCCCCTCTCCGGACTCTGATGGTAGACCGAGAGCGACAGAAACGAAACCCACGTGTCTCGGTGATATGTCTGTGTTAACTAGGAGTGTGCTTCTAAAGTAGCAGCTCTTAAGATCCATTCCGGAAATGGCTTTTAACAAAGTTGTCAGGTACTTGTAAAAAGTTATACTGTATTGTTAATAAATGAAAGAGCTCTGTAACATAATGATACAAGTAAGTTTGTTTTCCTCCGCACGTGGAATGCATGTGGAATGCCAAGTACATTTAGTGACATGTATAAAGAAGCCAAAAAGTGCATATTCCAAAATTTGATTTGCAGAATTAAATTGCAAGTCTATATTGACATAATAGCAACTTGTACGCAAACCATTTCTTATGGGCTCTACATTTGTAGAAGTACAAACTTGGAAGGATAGCAGAATTTGTTCAGGGCAAGGGTAATTTTAGCCTAACACCTCCCCCCCTTGGTGCCTTGAGCTTGCATGATTGCCTCTCCCCCCCCCCCCCCTATAATTCACTTCGGTTCTGCCACTGCAAGTCGTACGTAAAAATGGACAAGATTTTAAAATAACTGGACCACTCTCAAGCAGGATTGTTATAAGTTTAACAGGTTCTGTTATTTTTGACATAAAAGCAACGCACGGTCATAACCAAACAAGCTGTTGGAAACCAAGTTTGAAGTTTTGCTTTAGTCAACTGGTGAACAAAATGAAAATGTCAATGACACTGTAGCTCGCCACAAAAAAGGACACAAATGAGTGAGTAAGAAGAAGTCAGTTTTAATTGAGCAACCATCGACGTACATTATAGAAACGATTGCCATCTGTATATCGCAATAAGAATTTATAAACCAAAATGAATCCAATTTGTGACCGTAGATGGCGCTATAGCCGCTTTGTAGCGATAGCGTTTGAAATAATAGGTTATGCTGCGTTCCGACATGTTTTGTAAAACTTTACTCTAATATAGACGTTTTATGGAGAGGAAATACCAATTTTGCATTAAAGATATTGTCAATGAAATCTTGTAAAACGAACCAGACGAGTGTGACACCACAGGACTTTTGTGTCTATATAATATGCTATATAATTGCCAAACCCTACCTAATTTGCATAAAAAAATTTTAAATATCAAAACCCCTAGCCCTTATTCATTCACATACAAAAATGAGCAAAATCCGTTGAACCTTAACTGACTAATGGCAATTCCCATTTTTGCCAAAAAATTGCCGTGGCTCGAAAGTACGTCGACTGGCGTGCTTCAAAATAGGACGTTTAATATGGGAGCATAGCAGTAACAACTATACCCAATTTCAAACATGTGGGTCAAACGGTTCGTGAGTTATCGTTGACCGTAGCGAAATGTTAACGAACGTACGACGGACGACGACCCATGGCAATAGCTCAGCTTGACGATGTCAAGGTGAGCTAAAAATGAGCATGACGTGCTGTTTTAATTTGATCAGTAAGTGTTGCCCTCAACATTTTAAAAGAGAAAGCAGTCCTATCCTCGTGTAATTAAAAACAAGTGTTGGATGAAATGTCGATGATTTAACGTATCTACCGCTCATTAAATCGCTTCAAAAGCAGGTCACTACTATACCTATATTAGAAAGCAGACGCCACATTGCATAGATTGCGCCCATCAACCTCTAGACGGTCGTTCAAAGACCTCTCCAGTCAGGAATAGTTCAGATATAGATTCGAGCTGCAGTGCTGTGCTGTTATCACGTATACTTGCCGGGAAGAGGGACTGCCGCGCGATGAAAGGTCCACGAGTTTCCCCCATAAATACAGTGCATACGTCCACCATGCTAGCAGTAAGTTGATAGAACATGGACTTTGTTACATGGATTTTTTTTTTCTCTATTATCTACTATATATATATAATATCAGGAGTAGATAATAGGTACCTACTATCTTTACCCTATTATCTACTCCTGACAATATATATTGATCAGCAGACATAAACAGAAAACACATTGACTTGACCAATATTGTACAAAAATTATTAAATTGCTGTATGTCATTGCTTTCGTTTTAGCAGGGCAAGCATAGTAGCATACATGTTCTGCTATTTCTTGGAAGTTTATGTAAAATGCATAATGCATGTAATACATGCCCTACAAAACAAAGCATCAAGCGTTTCTGGATTGGCTTATGAACATTGTGCATGCTATGTGGCAGTACGCGAACGCGAATCAAGAATTGAAAAGCATAAAAACTATAAAATAACATATAATTGGCATCACATGACTTTCAAACATTTATATACTATCAATAGCTAATAATAGAGCTCTTTATTAGCTCTTGATACTATGTTACATAATAAATTACCACAATGTATAAACATTTACTTAATAATGTAAACGTGCGTGTGTGCTATATTACAATATACACTATGAACACATACATATGTTCACGATAATATAATATACTTATCATACAATTTCGTCAAAATTATGAAATTTTAAAACTAGGACAACTCCATTTGGTACCGTAACTGTTTCGCCTAGTTTTGCAACAAAGAGTAGCATGCGATTTATTGTATGCCTGTTTGTGATTTTCCCCTGGATCTTTATCAAGAAAGTACAGTTCCCCCGCACGAACATCGCTCCATATCCCTGAACATGTCTTTGTTCAAATCCGATCCACTCGTGTATCGTGGATGTGTACATCGCATATATTACCCCATCACAGCAATCTCACGTAAGCGGGGCTGATCGCTGGTCGCCACCCGGGGAAATTCGACGGTCTGTGGGTACTGGCTGAACACTGCTGATTTTTACCCAAGTGTGATTTTTAAGCAGTCTGCTGTCACTGTACGGATCACCAATGCGGAACTACGTCTCTCCGACATAGTCGTATCGCAGACGAATTGGTGGGACAGGTAGGTGGCCTGGGGATACCTGCAAGGTCGCACAGTGTTGGGAAGATGCGACCAGCTCCACCAAAACATTGCTTTGCCTGCCTCCTTACGCAACCACCTGGCAGTTACTCGATCACTTCACTGGCGCATTCAGATTCTCTTTCGGCACCTGACGTCATGCTGTGAGGAGGCAAACAGCGGGTTGATGTAAGGAAACAGGCTACGTTCTAGCAGGAGTTTCGTCTTTCACCGATTGCAAGGATTGCGAGCAAAGCGTGACCAAGCAATAATTGGATCGTACACGATTAGCGGAACGTTGGTAGCCACCTCAAGTTGCTGTACTTGACGCACTCCTGATGCTCACCTAATGCCCAGCCGTGGTCTCCTGCAAGTTCAAACGTACAACGCAAAAGATTTACGTCAAAGCAAATAACTTTTTCTAACTATGAATTTGCAGTCGTACTTTTTGTTGTAAACAAGTGCCAGAGCGACAGCGCTCACCTGACGGCAGGTGTTCTGATGCTAAACTCGCTGGCAAACGAATGAAGAGCACCGTCCCATCCCGCGTTCGCGCTCAGAGAATATATCAGATGAGCGGGATACTAGAGAAGCGTTGCCGAAAGGAAGGTGTTTATCCGAAGTGCTGCGCGATCTTGGCCGCAGTTCCGCGGCAAGGCGCACGCAACCGCGGAAATTTCCTAACGACAGTATGCAGCCGCTGGCAGACTATGGATCCGTGCGCCGAATGCATAGGCCGCGCACGAATCCATAGCTGCCAGCGAACAGTCCGCAATTTAGTGGGGGACACAGAGGGCAGACATTTGGAACGTGAACAGTGTTCACTTGTATTAAAAAACTGTAACCGAGTAATGTTGTTCGTAACCGAGCCTGTGTCACGCGAAGTCACAGAAAGACTGTAAGAATTCTGACATTCGCGAACCTTGCCAGTAATGGAAATGGCTGTCAGAATCAGAAGAAACACCTACCGGCGCTCTTCGTGACCTCATTTGTTGCGCCAATGCTGGAACGTTTTTGCAAACGTTGCAATGGCGAGGCTCGTACAGGAGTTGCAAAGCAGTGCGCGCGTGCCCGCCGCCTATAGCCCATAGACTGGCACTCGCTCACCGACCTCTCGATCTCCC